AATGTGTTTCATATGAATAAATATTCTTTCTATGACCCTAATGGATTTCGTTGTTGTGGGAGCTTCTCTGTCTGTCAAAGGGTTTGGGACACACTCATAAATGGGAGCATATGCTAATTAGGAAGAGGCATTTCGTTGCCCCGAAGAGAAACTATTGAGTAAGCATACCAGGAAGTCGTATTTTTTCTTTAGGGCCTCATATATTGATATATTGTACGGTTCACAAGGATATTATAAGGGAATTATACTACGGTAAAGGCTCTAAATAAAGGCAGAGATTTTTTAAAGAAGATTTTGTAAATCATACATGGCGGTATATGTGATACATGTGTTTTCCAAGTAAGTGTCTTTAAAATATCATTGATGATGTATTGATTAGTCGACGGCTTGTATAAGCTGAGAGATCCTCAGCTGTTGGTCATCAGGAACAATACGAGTGCAAATATCCAAGAAAAATTTAAGGAAAAATCTATTTCATAAAGTCCATACCAAACACAAGGAAATCTCTCCAAGTATAGTCATCCCCTGCAGCCTCTTGTACACTTTTCCCCATCTCATACCAGACTTACTTCATATCTCTCACGCTTCCAGCTATTTGCACACAAACAAAAATAAATATTAAATCTCAGACTGACGGAAGCGAAATCGTTTTGTGCCAGAGACACCCCCGAACCACACCCCACACTCAGTGGCACCCCCCCACATCGGATTTCATTTCACCGATGTGGCACTTTACTCGTACTACTGCACGGAGCGGACTGTGTGGCACGCTTATCGACTGGAGCAGCGTTTAGTTTTGTGATTGAGTGGGTGGACATGTGGATTGACAGGATGAGTCTGCTAGATCAACAGTCGAGCGGAGCTCATCAATTTCGCTCATCGTGACTTTCCGTGTGGGAAAAATCTCTCCTCCGGCATACTTGTGGGCGTTCCGCCTTGTGGACCAACTTTTAAAGTCGTCACATTCTGGTCTGGTAATTAAAAACGTGTGAAGCTGTACCCGGAAAACCCTTTGCTCGGTGTAATCCGCGCCCCATCCCTCATAAATCAGACAACGAAAAGCCATACATCATAGACACTGCGGGGAATCCCCATAGAATTACAGAGAGTCGACACAGCACAGCAAGAGCCAAAAGCCTCAAAAGTTATTTTGTAATTAGAGCAAAAGGCAGACACACCCAGAGATGGAGGGACATCAGCAGGCAACAGCAGAACAACTGGATAATGATGATTACGCTGGCGCAATGAAATTGAAGACGACTTTTAGTCGAAGCTGCACTAATTACCGCTGACGGGCGACGGGAAGCGCACTCCGGACAGTTCGCTCGATCTTCCGCTCTGTCTACGGCTACGGCCACGGCCACAGCGCGGGCTCAGGCTTGAGGCCTGTCAACTCAAGTTTGACACTTTTTTGCTCACAATTTATGAGGGCGGGTGCTCGGCTAAGCCCACAGATTGGGGCACAGTGGAATTGAAGGGAATATTGCTATCTAACCGTAATATTTTAAGTAAAATTGGGAAAAATATGATAAAGGTATTGGACAGTTTCTTTCATTTCCCAGATTAAATAACTATTCCAAGCCATCGAAAGAAGTGCAACAAGTTTTAATGTTAAATGGGGTTCGACTTTCGGAGATCTATCATTACTATCGAAAATGTAATCGATTGGAATTGCGATATGTGATGAATATTTTTCGATGTGTCCAAAGAACAACGATATTTTTTAATAACATGGCTTAATAAACGCAGAATAAATATTCAATTGGCATCCCACTGTGCACTGTGGTCCTTCGGCTGACACTCGAGCCGTTGACAAGGCTGCCACTTAGTTTAGAGTTTTATGAGCGCAATTCGATTATTCTTCATTTGCGTCAATCAATGCGGAGGCCGCTGCCTACTGCTTGCTTTTAGGCGCTCCCCCGCTAATCGCTTTGTTTAAATAGTAAACGTTGCAGGAAACAAGGATTTTTCGAAATTTAATATCACAGATGATGTGTCTGAGGCTTCTGCTTTATTGTTGTTTGTTGTTGGTTGTTGGTTGCTGGGCCTGCCGCCGTCCTGTCTATGGAGCTGTCTGCCCAAATGTCTGCTCTCACTTCTCTGTGTCGCCCTCGTCCTGAAAGCGTATCCTTTCGAATACGAAAATCCTTTGCGGCTATGACTGCCGAAGCTGGCGCTGTTTTGTTGATTTTCATTTCATTTCCCAGCTCGGTTTTTCCCTCGCTCTCGTTCTACCTCCTGTTTATTTCGCTTTGCTGTTTGCTTCCGCAACTTTATTATAGCTTTTGGCTGAGTTGCAACTGTTTGGCTGTTTGCTTTATGCTTATGAGGGTAAGACCAATGCGTCGTATTAGCCTTGCCGCCAGCCGAGCCGTGGGAGGCGGGGACGCTATAGGCTGGGGCTAGAGCGGAAGCTGGGCTCTCTGTGAGGCATAGCTTTTGTGGATTATGAGTTGGTCGTGCCGGGTGTGTGAGAATCGGGGCACTTGCACAAACTGTTGACTAAGATTATTGGCTACTTTAAGTGGCCAGCTCAAATGGGCATAGGAAAGGAATTATACATACACCATACATTTGTAGGGTTTATGAATGTTTGAAGAACCATTCATGGATTTCCTAAATAGCAGCGATGGAAAATAAAACCCCGGTTCCGCACAAATGACGCGGATGCAACTGATTCGCTGTATAAAATTCCCATAAACAAAGGGACTCAGTCGATACGAATTCGGAATTCGGATAGACATTATATTTTTAATAATTACAATGTTCCCTGCTTTACTTTCAGATAATCTTCATAAATCTTACGGCTATATCATTGGAACAAATTAAACTTCGTTTATAAAATGTTGCTAATCATTAATCGTAAATGTTTTGTTTTATGTTTTTAATAATTGAGTACTATAATTAATAATAACAAAGACTACATGTGGAATAAACGGCAAGATTATTTGTTGTAAATGCCATAATTATGTATCTACTAGAGGACGCAATTGTGCGCCAACCCCCGGCTCACTCGCTTCGATCGCTTACGCCGATGTGAGTAAAGTATCGGACGACTACGATTGCCCACAACTTTTGTATATAATAGAGAGTATTTCACGGTACTTGAAAGAGAGAGTACTTGAAAAGTGGATTATCTTTTAATTTAAAATAAATAAAAAGATATCATTCCTCCGAATTATTGAATTTAATTAATAAATCAATAATTCATTTAAATGGTACTAAAATGTTTTTCCCACCATAACAACCTCATTTACTTTACGTTGTCAATTTACATGTTTTGAATACTTATGATATTCTTATTAAACATTGACAAAGGCTAAAGAATAAAATAAAATAAAAAAATAAATACAAATTTGGACACGAATATTTTTAATATAGTTTGGAAATTAATTGAAACCTGAATGTATCCTTGCTAAAACAGTGTAGTGGGTAGGAAGGAATAATTTTCCGAGACTAATAAATAATGTCCATAAAGTTCTTATATGAATGGTGATACTACCACAACTTTTCATTTATTCCGCATCGTGAAGATAAATTATTCAGGAAGAATGGCACAAGTGTTTTTAATTATTTCGACACAGAACTTTAATAAATGTTTCAAAAGGGAAATACAAAATATTTGTTATTTTTAAAGAACAAAGAATTTAGAATAGTTGCATTATTACTGTTTTCCAGTCGCTTTTATCATTCTTGTCTGTCAATAACTGTCAATGAATATCCATTTCTTGCACATCAACTCCTCTACAAGTCCAACAACTTTAGAACATTTAATTTTAAAGTCTCACGTAGAAATCAAATCTATCAAATCCTTGATAGACTGGACACTCATCAATGAGTTTGCTGCGGCGGTGCTCATTCATAAATCACTCCTTTTTCGAGCATCGAGTTTGGAGTTTGGAGCAATCAAGCCAGCGGAGCAGACAGGGAAAATATTCAAAATGGCTGACATTTTGTGTACGGGACCGAGAAGTAGAGCCAGAGCCGGAGCCGGAGCCAGCGCCAGACAGGAGGAGAATGTATATGCTCGAGTATATGGCAGGGCGCGGAAATAATGGAAAATGGCCTGGCAACATGATAATAGCATTTCACGCACGACTGAGATTCGCATGCCAGCCCGCGACGCATTCCCATGCCGCCCACTCACATCAGGCCATGTACTGGAGGTGGGAAATCCCGGCTCCTGATTGGTTTGGCCCAGCCAGGTGGCTCGTCCGCCCCGACTCCCGGTCAGGACGCGGCTTGCTACTGTTGCCAGCAACCCTCGACCAATGCTGGGTACGGCATTCCGGCACAGCCCGTCCGCATTCCTGGGCCTGCGCAGCTCCCGGCCGGAGAGCTTTTCACCACACGGAGGCCAGTGGGAGCGAGCGAGACGGGCGGGTCGATTATGCTCTGCCAGAGCATAATCTGGACCAGGGCATCCATCTGGGCAGACAAGAAAGGCGAATGCGAATGATGTTAGTTTCACTTCGTGCGTTGTCCTGCTGAGGCCAAAGCGAGCTCGGAGCTGCGTTAGTGCTGCATCTGGTATATAACCCCGTGTGTGAAGAGAGAGGGGAATGTGTGTGTATATATATAGTGAAAATATTCTGAATAATACTACGCAATTATTGAGTGATAATCAGATTGCTGCAATATACGCAAATGTTAATAATTTCCCCTTGGTGACCCCGAAAAACTCCTTCGTAATACCCTTGAAAGGGAAAATTCTTTTCATGCGTTCCCACGCTTCCAGTTTCCAGTGGTCGGAAAATTCCAGTGTATATACTACGCTCCTCCCCCATACCCCTACCCTTCTGCCGTCATTCAACCCTCCAGTTCAGGACGCGACTGAGATAGCTGCTTATATACCCAGCCCACAGCCCACAGCCCTCAGCCATCCCCATCCCAATCCTCCCACGCCACCTGTCCTGGTCGTGGGACCTTGTATGATCCTCTGCGAGGTCTACGACGCCGCTGAATGTGACCTGCCTATCACACAGTCTTCAGACAGAGTTGAATTCGGATCGCCATCATCCTCGTCGTCGTAGCCTGCCGCCGGTCTCGTGGTCAACTCTGTCTGAATGTTGTCGTCCCACTTTTTAAGTTTTTAATTAGTTTATTGAAAGTTTTTACTCCCAATTATTTTTTCCCGGGGCGTGTGTTGCTAGAAAATGTGAGAATGTAGTCCAGTGATACAACTTAAACCCAAAAATCAAATCGGTTATGTAATCGTTACTTGTATTTTTCCATTCCATTCCATTCCGTTCCATTTCATTCGCAGCGTATCGTGTTGAGTGTCAAGCTAAAGAATCTGTTATCTGTGTACCTTATTTGTGATATCATAACCAACCGCAACAAATAGTTTATAATAATCAACCAATTTTGTTGCCTAATAATAATCATTTAACATAAACGCGACTAACGGAAACTGTGGAACAAGAGGCGATTACATAAGCACGACCAGCGGCGAAATGGATTACGTAACACTCGTGTGGCATGTAAGTAGGCGGAATTCGGAAAGGTCATGAGTACAGAGGGAAAATACCGAGGAAAAAGCAGAGATCACAGATAAGAGTTATGGGCTTACAAAAATGAATGACCAGAAAATGGACCTAGGTGTACACTATTTTATCTAGAGGTGTCCTGGAACAGGATAAACTTTTATTACATATTTTTGAGGAAAAAAAAAAACTGAATTGGTCGGCACCACATTAACACTATTTTTTCTGCCGAACACTGATCTAAACTAAACGCAAGGCCTAATTTCTTGAAATTCCTCAAATGGTTTAGACATAAGAGACTTCACGTCCCTGAGATAATTTTCAAGCAATGTGCCCCCCAATTTCATGTTAATGCAATCAGTTTTATCACTTTCTAGACCCTTTTGAAAAGGATTCGTTCCAAAAAATTGTCTCAAAATTCGGGCCCACATTTAATGAAGCATAAATTGCAATCAAAATATCTATCAAAGCAAGAAATGCGAACAAAATAATTTTCCGGCTTACCACCACCCCCACATCACCTTCCCACCACCAGGCCCCACTCTCACATAAAAACACAAATAAATTTATGAACATAAGCAGCTTACAACAAATGTGGAAAATGGTGAAGCTCTGCAAGGGCTTTCCTTATCGGCAGCAGCACACAAATTGGCGAACAAATTAATAACTGGTACAAATCTCTTTTGCAGGCACTGTGAATGAAGAAGCAACAGCCCACTGCTGAGAACGGCATCTTCGTACTAGCCAATACGGCGGAAAATCAAAATTAGATGGCGGCCAAGTGAAAATCCCCCCTTTTTAGCCGAAAGTTAAGTCGTAAAATTATTGCTGGCTTCACAGAAATTAATCGCCAGCCAATTCGCCACGCCCATCGGCACGGTAAGCCGCCGTGAAGTTGCAAGCAAAGTACGGGCATATTTATGCGCACAAGTGATAACCACGGCACGGTCAACGGAGCAGAGCATTCGCTGCGCTAGGAACGGTACGGCACGGGCACCACAGTGAGCCAAGTGGGAGATCCATAACCGGAGTCAGAACTAGAGTGAGAGCCGGGAGGTTTCGGCCACTGCCACAGCATCACCATGAAGGGCTTGACGGCGTTTAAGGAGAAGGCATCGGGCGTGTTTGGCGGGTGAGTGCAGAACGAATCGAATCGAATATGATATGATATGACACTAAACAGCAGGGTTGTGGTACTTATAAACGATAAGGCAATTTTTAGTTTAATATAGATTTTTTTGGTAAGAATTTCTAGAACATGTTTCTATGGAATTTTGTAACACTCTGGAGATAACATAGCTATAGTAGATAGATTTAGAAAAAGAATTCGATTGTATGATACTTTACTTATGGTAGTATGAAATTTTCCAGTAACAAGAATTTTTACTATCTCATACAAAAAAAATATAGTAGCTACAGAAAAAAGTAAGAACAAATTTTGTTCTGGCACTTCACTTTTGTTGACCAGTGTAGAAAGATGACGATGGGCAATATGCCGAGAATGAAATATGATTGCAATCAAATGGACTTTAGAGGGAGAACAAAAATATAAGAATTTAATTTAACGCAACGCTGATCTCGGTAGAGGTTGGATGAACTTGACCTGGCAGTCCGGGAATGTGCAGTATACAATACGGGTATATTCTCGGATTGGTGCATACTGGCGACTAGCCGGCGTCGCGAAACTTTGGCACGTGTCTGCCCCCGGAAAGTTGTAAAATTATTGGCATGCTTAACAAGTCATTAAAGGGGAGTGACGACTTTCCAGGAGTACCAAGAGTTCCACGAGTTCCAGGAGCGGTGACAACAAACGCCTCGGCATGCCGGGCCGCTCACCGGCGCCTCAGGAATTCCGTGCACGTTGCCAGCACGTGCCCACACGGAAGCCGTTGACAGCGACGATGACTCCATCACCTTGGTCTCCTCGAATACAATAAAGTAGTGAAGCATATTGGGCCAACACTCGCACACCATTCAGCCGTTCATTCATTCATGTGAGGCGTTGGTATGCAATTTTATGGGCACGCCAGGACGGGATAACTGATTTCTCAAGGACCTTGGGCGCAAATTAGAAATTGGAACAATAGGTGGAGTCGCTTTCATTAAGGAATGTGTTGCATGCCAACGAAAGGCTGCAGATGAAATTGATTTTTACGAGCGTTTTATTCATCCGTTGCCGGGATCTGTGGCTGAAGCCCTCAAGGGGCACTCGAGGCGCGCGCGGCGCGAAGAAATTGGAATGCCTCAAGAGGCAAGGGAAAGCTGAATGAGTTCCTTCTCATTGCCAGCGAAAATGAAATTAGAATTGTCATTGAAGACGCGGTCGTGTCGCTGACGTGCCCCCGTCCAAAGACCTCCACCACCATTAGCACCACGAGCACCATAGTATCTCAGTTGTCAAGGCAAACAGAATTCTATACGAGTATGTACGAGTGTGTACATCTACCCTATTTTTATCTAATGGCTGCTTAATGGGCGCGCACTTGTGGCCAAGTTAAAGTCAGAAGCGAGTTTCCATCAAATGCTGAAAATCCTTCAGCTTTCCGCTCTCCCATTCTCGTCCCTGGCGCCAGTTAGCAGTAATCTATGCGGCGCCAAAAAGTCTACAACATTTTTACTGATAATCAAACCCGCCAAACAAGTGGCTGGAAGAACTTTAGCGCCATGGATAGTTTTGGCGAGACAGCAAAAAATAAGTCAATGATATATGTACGTAAGGATAGACGACGACAGGATGCTCTAACGATAGAGGCAGGGAAACTGGAGAGGGTAATGGATTGGTCGTCGAATGATTGTATACATTGTAGATTAGCTCTTGGGTATTTATACAAGTTTTTTAAATAACCCATTTAAATAAAATATTGATGCAAATTGAAGCAGCTGTGGAATTCCACAGATTTTTGGCTGGGGAAGACCTAAACTGATTCCCAGATAGTCTCTGGCATACCTTAGGAGGGCTTTTGAATATCAGCCGCAGCTAAAATGGTAATCGAAACAGCTTTCGTTTCGGCACATAACAAACCTAATGACGGGCATTACACAGCGCTCTCCCTTTCAAAGGGCAGATAAAGATTGCCGCATAAAATTGGCGTCGGACGAGGCTTCCTTAAAGTCGGTCAACGCACAAGACATCGGAAGGACTTCTCGGCCTCTCTGTGGGGCGGGCTTCCCGGTCCTGCGTGACCAGACGAGGGTAGCTTTAGCGGCAGACAGTTGAGTTATGTGACAGGCGGCGACGACGACGACGACGAGAAAGTTACCCACTGTAGTGGCTTGTTTTTGGCTGGTGCCTGCTTATTAGTTTGTAAAGCATACTGCTCGGGAGTTTGTCTGGATATGTAAGGAGAAAAATGCCAATAGAGAGGGGAGATCCCGAGGTTATCATTCTGGATGTGTCACTTAACCAGTGTTAATGGGAGGGTGGGCTAGACCACCACTATATCATCTAACAACTGCCATCAATCAGTGAGCGACAAGGTCTTGCACGGTGTTTAAACTGTTCGCGACCCACAAAAGGTCTCGGCGGGGAAATCAAATCGGAAAATACGATTTCAGATTGTCACCTGGTCGAATCAACTTTAAATACTTGAGCCCGCAGACCAGCTATCACCACTTAATAAAATTGAATTTCTTTCAAACTGAGGGGGCATGCCTCCCTCTGGCAATGCCTTCCCCATTCCCACATTCAATGGAATTCCTTGGGGACGGGACTGAGACGCAGAACAACCACCTTGATCGGGGAGGGTGTCAACCGCTGCCCTAACAAGCAGAGAATGTTTGTCTTTTCACACCCTCTTCCTGACCTGTTGATATGGCCTGTTCCAGTTCTAATTGGCATGAATTATGTCCATCTTTTCGCACGCCCTTTTCCTCTTGCAGCCTCAAGCCGAACATGGAGAAGTTCGAGATATCTCAGAGCTACCACACCGGACACGGCGGGTACGAGGAGATGGAGGGCGGCGAGCGCGAGGGCCACGGACCCGGCGGCGGCCACGCCTACGACGACGACGACGACCGGCCCGACTCGCCCGCCTCGTTTGAGGAGATAGAACGTCCGCCGCTCCGGAAGATCGACAAGTACTGCAAGGCGGAGTGCCCATGCATGCCAGCCCGCTACACTATCGCCACCATGGCCTGCGTGGGTTTCATGATCGCCTTCGGCATGCGCTGCAATATGTCCGCGGCGAAGCTAAAGGGCGAGCACAACGGGGTAAGTAATGCTGGGAATAATTGAGGGACAGCTATACTTTCGTATTCCCCGAAATCCCTCTGGGCCACACTTCTGTAAGTATTTTTGTGCGCCCGAAGAAACAGGTGGTCGTGGCACTGGAGGCTGGTCTTTGAGCAGAGTTTTGATTAGATTATTTCGATGTTGATATCCAGTTTTGAAGAACTGAAATTCCGAAAAGCCAATAAATGGAGCTACTCGTTTCAGTCGCTTCCAAAAACTTTGTAGCTTAAACTTACCGTCTGGAAAAAAATTGAAATTGATGCCTGGAAAGAAAGTAAAATTTTGTGGTTTAGTGTAATCGAATGGTGGAATTTTCAACATAAAAGATGCCAAACAATACATTTATGGGAATGAGAGGAAAATTTGCTTCATTTAGCAAAAAGCTGCTGTCAATTAGGGTGTGTGGATGGATACTCAAAATCACTCAAAAGTCATACAGGAAAAGCCACGCCCCCACACACACACACAGGGAGAAACGCCAAGCTTGTGTGCCCTGTATGCCATCCGGCCTGACGCTCGTTAATAAAGGCCCGCGGCACTTTTTAATGAATGCTGCTTTCCCGCTCATAGCTCATATTTTGATTCTTTCGCGTTATTGCAGACGGTTTTCATGAACTGGACGGTTGCCGTGGAGAGCCATGTGGACTCGTCCTTCTTCTGGGGCTATCTGGTGACGCAGATTCCCGGCGGCTTCATTGCATCCAAGTTTCCGGCCAACAAGATATTCGGCCTGTCCATCGTCAGCTCGGCCACGCTGCATCTGTTCGTGCCCTTTGCCATGACGCTGATGCACGGCCACGTGGTGATTGGTGTGCGCGTGCTGCAAGGACTCTTCGAGGTAAGTAACCAGATTCGATTTTGCCACAGATCAAAGCCAAGGATTACGATTGCGTGACGTTGCGAAAAGGGAGGGATTGGTCCGGGGATGGGTCTAGATTTTGCCCTATGATAAAGCAAATACATATGTGAAATGAAAACACGTCCTAAGCCCTTAAGAGGCGATATGGGTGGAAGAAAGGGAGAATAACAAAAGAATTTATTTTAATGCGATTTCTTTGTGCCGAAGTCTATCATTTTTCTTTCTGGTTACTCAATTAGAGATGTGGCTGAGGAAAGATTGTTGACGATACGAACGGGAGAAAAGGCTTTTCTACTACTATTGTACCATTATTTTTACTATTAGATATTATGGGAAATTCATCGAATAGAATGTTGTACTGTGGGACTCGGCCATTTCAGCTTGCTAAATCATTAATTTTTGAAGGAATATAAATATATATTTTTATACTATTTTGATTTGTATATTACCAGAATATATACAACACCCAGAAAAAAGCTTTTGCGACCGCATAAATTATGTACATATATATATAACGCTCTCTTCGTGGTGTCACACATCCACATCCTCCACAAAATGAATATATCCCTATACTCTTTTTAGTATCGGGTATAAAAATAGTGTAGTTTTCATAAAACTTAAGTCCGTGTTAAAAAAGATCCCAAAATAGATTTTTCTTTAGGATACAACAGATAATTTTTTTAAATATTGATAAAAAAAGATCAAAAGTATTATCATACAAAAAAGGGTTTACTTTAAGTTCTCTCTTTAAGATGAGTAGATTGTTGCTCACTGAAAAAATGGTCATGAAGAAGGCTCATATTTCCTTAACTACTCGTAAAATTTTCTTTTTGAGGCCCCACACAGTGTGTATAATCTATAAACTGATTCCAAAACAACCAGACTTTATATGACGTAGGCCAATGGCAAAAATACAGATTTTCGTATCAATGTAAAATACAATATAAGTCCATTGACTTCCGAGTCCCATACAAAAGATGGACCAAGTCCTATCAGACTGGTGTTCGTTTAGTCTATCCTAGCCAGTCTATTCTCTTGCGAAAACTTTGCCTTTACATCCAAATAAATCCATTTCCTATTTAATTACCTAGGGTGTAACGTATCCGGCCTGTCACGGCATCTGGCGGTTCTGGGCGCCACCCATGGAACGCTCTCGTTTGGCCACCCTAGCCTTTTCGGGATCCTATGCTGGCGTCGTGGTGGGGCTGCCCCTGTCCGGGCTGCTGGCCGATACCGTGGGCTATCAGGCGCCGTTCTATGCCTACGGGGTGTTTGGGATCATTTGGTACATGTTCTGGATATGGCTGTGCTTTGAGAACCCGCGAAAGCATCCGGCCATCAGCATTCCCGAGCTGAAGTACATCGAAAAGTCGCTGGGAGAGTCCGCCCATCCGACGATGCCATCGCTGAAGACGACGCCCTGGCGGGAAATAATGCACTCGATGCCGGTCTATGCCATCATAGTGGCCAACTTCTGTCGATCCTGGAACTTCTACCTGCTGGTCTTGTTCCAATCCTCGTTCCTCAAGCACAAGTTCGGCTTCAAGGTGGAGGAGGCTGGCTTTGTGGGATCCCTGCCGCATCTGATCATGACAACGATTGTGCCGTTCGGCGGTATGCTGGCGGATCATCTGCGAAAGAATGGCATCCTGTCCACCACGAATGTGAGAAAGCTGTTCAACTGCGGCGGGTTCGGGATGGAGGGCCTGTTCTTCCTATTCGTGGCACATTCCTCGACGGCGGTGAGTAATGGGGGCTGTGGATTTTCCGGCTGTGTTCTAAGATATTGATTCCAGACGGGAGCCATGTTTGCCTTGACTTGCGGCGTGGCCTTCAGCGGGTTTGCCATATCAGGCTACAATGTCAACCATTTGGATATTGCTCCACGCTATGCGAGTATCTTAATGGGTCTCTCGAACGGTATTGGCACGCTGGCAGGGATCATAGTGCCATACGCACTGGATGGTCTCATACAGGCCAATGTAAGTAGCACGCTCTAAAATCGACATAATCCAGGTTATACATATGGGAATCGTTGCAGCCCACTGGCTGCTGGACCACTGTGTTCACCCTGGCCGCCTGTGTTCATCTGGTGGGCTGCACTTTCTACGGCATCTTCGCCTCTGGAGAGCTGCAGCCCTGGGCCGAGCCGCCGGCCGAGGAGCAGCAGGTGTGGGCCCCGCCGGCGGGAGCCATCACCAACACGGATCCCAGCCAGGCAGGCATGATGGGCAACTACATGAAGGAGACCTCATTCGTAAGTCGCACGCAGGACTCTAGTGATCTCTAACCCCGACTGCTTTTGTTCTACCTCTTCCGTGTAGGGTGCACCCGAGTACAATGAGCAGAGCCAAATGCAGCAATCAAGTGCCATTAGCTATGGCGCCACCGGGCACGTGGCCAACAATCCATTTGCCATGGCCGCCAGTGCACCCATTGCCGAGGAACCCGCCCCGCCGCCGTACGACGACGTGGCCTACAACTACGACTACACGCAAGGACAACCCCAGCCGGGACAGCCAGGCCAGCCAGGACAGCCAGGACAGCCGTCGTACGACCCGCAGTCCTACCAGCAGCAATAAAGGAATCACTTTAGTCACTGATATATATCATAGCTCTTAGTTGTAGTTGGAAATTGTTTACCGTTTATCGTTTGTTCTTGGTGTGTCGTTAAAGTTATTCTATCGCATTATACGTTCGGTTTTATTCCAAGAACTGGGGTCGCTAGTCACATATGTAGTTATAAATACGAGACACTACAGCTGAGTAAAGTACTATAAAGGAAACACGTTCAATCGAATTTTCAGCAAGGAACGCCACAAGCCACACTAACACAAAGAAACTATGTACCTAACAGAGAAACTACATATGCATACATGACATTACATAACACTGGAAGGCACTCTCGATCCGTAACTGTAACTGTAACGATCTATAGGTCTTAAGGCACCATCGCTTCCGCGAATTTCTATTTACAAGCTCCAACCGAAAAAACAAAGCAAAAGCAAAAGGAAAAGGAAACATTTGTGTATATCATAAACTACATGCATTATCCAGACATGCACCAGGTCTCAAAGAATATTACTATATATAAACCGATATATATGTATTATGTATATTACTACACTTAATTATAGCTACAAATTGTTGTTAACTATGCAAATATGAAAACTGCAAGTTTTATTACCGTTGACGATATTATCTCTGTGTGTATCCAGGCCTGAGAACATTTTAATCTTAAAATACAAGAGAAAAACTAAGCAATTGTTGATGTTCGGCACGAATGATATCCATAGTACATACTAACTAATCCGATATTCATATATGGTTATTGTTTCATTGTTTGTTTAACTTACATACTTATAAACACACATGTATATGCATTTGAATTTGGAAAACATGAGCAAGGCACGATGTAGGTACTAAAATATATATTCGAGTAGATAGCAGTACGCACATATAACCTCAGACTTGGTCTTCATATACTCGTCACACACTAGCACAGACACAGGATCGATTTCTTATGGTCCAAATAAACAGTATAATAGATGTCGCACCATTTTCTGGCGACTAATCTTTCGTAACTGCCGTACTATTGTTTTCTTACAATTTAAAAAACTTGTCATTTTTTTATAGCTGCACTTTTTGTTTAAAAATTGAAATATACTTAGAGCAAATCCGTTGGCAATGTCATACATCACTTAATTTTGTACAAGAAAAAAATGACTGCATAAATAAATTACATAAAAATGTTTGACTCCATTTTGGCGCTAAGAAATCGACCCTAAAACTGTTTATATAAATTATTAAACTTTTAAGAGTTTATTTGGGCTTTATTCACAGAAAATCATTATCAATAAACATGTTTGTATTTTTCAATATTCTGCATTGCATAACCTTTCACAGCATTTTTTGTGAAATTTAACTGCTGAAAGAAAAGTCCAAATAAACCCTCAAAACATCACTAATATTAAATAATTAAATCATGCTATATGGATTATCATATACAAACTACACATATTTAGAAAATTGTTTGTTGTAAATATGTATTATTATAATAGAAAAATTCAAAAAACTTGCTTTATCATTTAATTTAAAAAAAATGCACCATTTAAATTAATTAATTTTTTTGTTTTTTTTTTTTTGATTTTATGTGTTCTTTTAACTAATGCACTTTCTAATTTTAATGCACTATTTTAATAGCACTATTTATATATTTTTAATTCATTTATTCAATGCACCAATATTAATTTTTTGTTCTACTCAAAACCTCCTTTAGATGCACTCACTTTCCAATATCCTTTTCATAACCCTTTATATATTACTATCTAATCGGGTGTGCAATACTTTAACAACAAATTTACCTAGCAATTAGTATCAAAATATATATATATATACCTATATTTAAATGTAACTTAATCAATTTATTCACAATTAAATCACTATGTAATAAATATGTGAAAATTTTCTAACTAAAAGAGTCAATTCTTATACCGTAATTTGTACAGCGCAGCGAATATATATAAACGTATATAATCAAACAAAATTAAACTAAATAAGTAGCATGTAATTATGGAATTTTTAAATCGAACATGGGGAGAAATACTTCGTGTTTGATCCATGGAAATGACAACCCCAACTGCTTGTGAAAGTGACAATACCTAGTGAAGTAAGCCTAGTTTATAGTTCTATTAGCTATTATTTAAAATTAATTGATGTTCAGTTCTCTTCTGTTTAGATTCGGGCACAAGTTTTGAATGCTTCTCAAAATGTTGGCCCCTTGGGCATATGTGTAATATTAGAGTAATTGCGAACCCATTATGTACATAAAAGCATAGAGAAATGCTATATACTAGCGTAGATATCTTGTCACAGTTTGTCACAGGAGAGATGAACACTTACGAGGCTCTCACTAGTCATGTGCTCATCTAATCGCATTGAGTTCTGTATCTCATTTTCTGTTTGAGAGATACTCAAGCTCTCGGGGCTGTGTGGACAATAATAGCAGGAGTATGTTAGCCGAAAAGCCACATATGAAAACACTTAATCACATCAACAGACATGACAGTTTGTATATAATACAACCTATACTCGTATGCATGCATATGTATCTTATTAGCTAAGAGCACTATTAAATGCTTCAGTGAGCAAAATATCCAAGTGTATATAATGCCAAATTTATAAGGAAACCATATTAAACCAATTAACCAATAACTAAATGTTATAGGGGTAAACTATGAATGATAACTATAGCCACGTCTTGCCAGAACCGGCTAAGTACTTATAGGGCATTTTAACTCCCAGCCGAACATAAATGTTGTATGCGAAAGCAGACCTAGGAAACGCTGAGCAGCCATATAAATAAACCATACACTCTCATCGGAAGGGAACAACAATTGACGGACAAGTACCATACATATGTATATTCCAAAGCAGACGTCATATATACGAGTATTATGCATATAAAATATCCATACTATAGATGTAAAAAAAGAAGTCACATTATTTCATGTTAAACAATATACAAGAATTGTTCGGATGGGATAGGCTATCAATACTGGAACTGTGTATATATTAAACAAAATAAAACAATGTATTCTTTGTGTTTATTGAGCGTTCTGTATGCAAATTGCTAAAAATTAAATCAAAATAAAAATATTTAGGAAACGAATGGAGATCCCTTTTCTGGCAACACCCGCCCATGTTGTATAATTTTAATGGTCGATAAACCGAATTAATATACATATACTTATATACGTACATACATATATACTTCGATGTATGCTCATAACAGCTCAAAACACTTTAATAATACTCATAAAATGTAACTAAAAGGATTACACAAGACTCGAGCACAATAAAAAAGATTTTCCTTTAAGATCCAGCTTCGCAAAATAATTTACCAAATTACCATGTTACTCAAATTTATTTAAAAAACTTATGACACTGATAACGAGAAAGAGAAAGAAAGAAACCCCCTGAATGACATCTGGCTATACGAATTACCATATTTAAACGTCTAAACGAAATCGAAACAAAACAAAACAAAACAAAATTATACCTTAACAAATGTATTTGGAACTCAATAAAACGAACTTGTTAAGAATTATGCCAACAAACATTGAGTTGAGTGTATTGTGCGTTTATTTCAAACAACTTTCAGCCTACGACTTAATGATTAGATGCATTGATTTGTACAGGGCCCGAAATATTTGGGACTGGATGTCGCCTCTCTCCCTTCCCAACTCCCAGCAAACATGGCGGTGGTCTAAGACTAACAACAAAAATATATAAAATAAATATGATTCGTATATATATAGAAAACAAACTATAATCACATGAGTGCTACGGTATAAGAGATGGAAGATGGAAAATGGAAGGAAACTAGGCAGAATCGATCTTCGATCCATTGTTTCCAAAATATGGAGATTGCGAACAAAAGGCAACAGACGATTTTCACTATCGCCGTACACCCTGGTACTCGCCATTGGAACGCCCCTTGCCTGGAAAACCACGGGCAAATGGTGCTTTTCCATTAGTGGTAACATAGTAATTGCCTCGAGCTCTGAAAAGTAGTAATACAATTTCTATAAAGATGTTTGGGATAACGACGACATGGTTCAGTACTCACTTATGTGAGCAGTGCTCGCCCATCAGAACGTACTCGGAATCCTTGGGCTCGCACCAGCCTATCAGGTAGGTGAACAAGTTGGGGCACGGACCCGCATAGAAGCCCCGAGTCGTGGTTATGGACTCTATGAAGTAGGGGGTGACTTTGGTGTGGTCGCAGGCCAAGGTCTCTGGAAAATCAAATGAAATAAAGGGTTGGGTTGGGTGGGGCTATCCTTATGGTCTTTGATACTCACGAAACAGTGTGGCAGAGCCCACACAGGCTGGCTGCCTGGTGCCGCCATTCACATAAAAGTCTGCGTGGCCACTGGAGTGCCATTGACCGAGTATCCCCGCTCCAGTGTGCATAACATCCACAAAGTTGGCATCCGTCGTATCCAGATCCCTGGAGTTGTTGGCCCCAGCATAGAAGAATATCGTTGGATCCAGGGCTGTGATGCGTCCCAGCTTTCCCTCCTCGGGCTTCAGATAGTTGGCCACCAGTCCGGCTATGTGGGCACCCACGCTGTAGCCGATGAAGTGAAGGTCATCTGGCTGGACCCCGCGCGGATGTCGGGCCAGATACTTGACCAACTGGGAGATGCAGAGGCCGCCGAAGCGGGGAGACCAGTCCATCTGGCTGAGGCAGGGCTCCTTCACCGCGTCGGCGTAGTCCACGATGATGATGTTGTACTCGCCCACGCTGAAGTAGGCCTCCCGCAAGTCTGGACTGGGACTCAGATCGCGACCTCCTCCGAAGCCGTGGATGATTATCTTCGTCGGATGCCGCGGATTGAAGTGGGTGTAGTACAGGGCGTTGGCGTCGAGCACATCGATGAACTCGGGCTGCTCCTGGGTGCGGCGCGTGTACAGGTAGAACTGAATCTTCGGATGCGGACAGCGGTACGGCTTCTGCAGGCAGGATTCCGTCACGTAGACTTGGGTTTGGTTTTGCCCCGCCGCCACCGCCGCGGCCACCACGCCGGCATTTTGGGCATCTGTGAGGATGTGAGATGGGAGAAATGGAGTTGAAGTTGCATCTGATGTGGATGTTGGCAAACGGGTTTCACTCTCCGCTACAGCCAGCTTGGGTATTACACTTAATTGCATAAGCCGCTGGCTGCGACATTGAATGTTTGCAATTCGGCACGCTGCAAATGTCATGCGATTGCGTTTCTGCCACAGTTGCAGTTGAAGTTGCTGTGGCACTCCACGAGCAATGCAATCCACGCCACACTATTGCCTCGCAGCCCGCCAGCAGAAAGTAAAAGTCAGTCCAGCCAGCCAGCCAGCCAGTCGGACAGAAACGGAAGTAACGATGCCTGCCCCTTGCCTGTTTGCTCTTTGTTTGCATTTGCGTTTGCTCTTTGCTGGGTTTATTTTTGACAAAACGTGCTGCCCATGATATAACTGGAGCTGTCGACTGGATACGGAATGAATATGCGTAATTTATGCGACTGATTCATGGGCGGTCATAAGGAAAACCCAGGAATGATAAGGTGTGGATAATTTATATAGAATTATGGTTATATACATATAATATTTTCAACTGAAATGGCTCATCACTAAGGAAAGTACCTCTCATTTAAGTAATCCTAATCGAATACTCAGGAAAATATTGAACTGAAATCAAATATGATCTAGCTAAATGCCAAACCCCGAACTAGTTCCCATGACGAGCACCTCATTGGAAGCCCCCATATGAGCCCCCACCTGAGCTCACGGCATGCGTAAGAAGCCCCAGCACTGCGCACTGCATTCAAATGGCCAAATTAAAAATCTAACCAAACTGTTGGAGAATCGACCTTCAGCTGGCGCCGCGGGCTCAGTGGGCGGCAGGCAATTGGCACACTTGTGGTTCGAGAGATAACCAAGAGGCAGAGCCAGGCCATGTAACCGGTCTCGGGGACTGTTACAGATGCAGAGTCTTGCGGCTTGGCTGAGCACTGGATAGACCCGAACATATCATAGCTGCCTTATAGGGCACATACCCCATAGACACAGTGAGTGAGCCGCGGAGTTGTTGTTACCATTTCACTTCGATTTCGGTTGCGATGACATGTCTGTGGCCGGGCAGATGAATTAAGCATGCAATAGGCGGTGGTTTTACATCAGAGACCGCAGCATAAATCCAATGAACCGCCCACCACCGGACTCCGCCACTTTTCCACATTTCCACACTAGCAATGGTCTGTACTGCGGTCGTGGTCATGCCTCAATTGTCTTCAACTTTTCTGTTTTCATTTGCTTTTCACAATCGTGTATCTGCAGCTTCGTGAGTTGCTTTTCAAGTGTTATGTAAGCCAAAGACCGACTCCACTGCGTTTTCTTCCCCTATCCTAACCGCTTCTGTCCTTTTTCCCATTTTAAAATTACGCATTCCAATTAAATGACTTTTTTGGGCTTTATTTACATCTATTGTTTGGAGAAAACTCGTGTGCAATTGGGCTGGGATTGTGGTCGAGGGTGTCCAACTAACACAAATCAAGCCAGTGCCAAAACGGAAGCCGGCGCCAAAGGCGGAAGACGAAAACCACAACACGAACTCCTCATCGGCCGCTAAGTGAAAGATGATTTCGGTTTGTTTTGGGGCTCGTCTCTGGGTCTCTCTCTCTCTCTTTTTACTGGTTTGTTTATGGGTTTTTATGTTTCGCTTGCCATGAGTCACATGCATTGTTTGTCTTGGAGTGTTTTTTCGTGGAGATTATTGGCCAATTGGCTTGAAACCGATACTGGAATTGGGATTTGTGTGTCATAACCTTAAGATTTTAAATTGATTGCTTCGACTGGGTAATCATACAAGTATACTCGTGTTAAAAATTCTTGAAAAATTAGCCAACTTTCAATTATACGTTGGCTTCTTTGACCTACTTTATGAATGTGGCCAGTGCTCGGAGTGTGTTCATTAACCTGCAATCTTGAATGATAATTGCCCCAGCATTAACCTGCCTAAAATCCTTCATCCCCTGCCCCTGACCATGGCAATGACACGCACTCCGGCACTTCGGCACGTCGGCACTCCGGCAATGCGCATACGCCTCATAGGCCGGCCCCAGCAAGACCCTAGCCGGCCAGGGCTGGGAATGTATGGCTATGACACCTTCATCAGCAGCCATATAACTTGGCTGAGTAGTAAATATTGCAACAGCAGTGAAACAGAAACAAACAGCAACCAAGAGTGTCAAGGTGCAGGGCATATAAATATGAATATAAATTAGAGACACGAATTGTGAGAAATTCCAGAGCATTCGGCCAGCAGCATAAACGGTAGCCAATGCCATTAATTAACTTGGCATGAGATTACCAGAGTCAAGCCGTGATAAACAAAGGCAACATTTGTGCGCGGGATGAGCCGTGACAAAATATGCGTGACGTGACCAATATCATCGGCCGGCAAAGGCAGTAAAAACTTTCAAGTAGTTGTCAGAGCAACAGCATTACAAGTGCTTATAAAAAGTGCTTTTGGAAATATTTATGCTTTTATATAAACAGTATTTGAGGCAAGGTCAACACGGGATGACTCCGCGGAAAACCAAAAGAAACTCATAGGCATTGTGCAACTACCCGTGTTTAAAAATAAAAATGAAATTTATGCCCACTGTTTAGGCGGTTGACGCAAATTTTAAGTGTCAACAGCCGCAGCCCCGGCAGCCCCAGCAGCCACAACAGACAACAGCCAACAAATCTACAATGACAGGCCCAAAAGAAAGGCCAGGGCACAAACCAATTCAGGCATGGCCAAAAAATATAGGTTCCAACCAGCACCAGGGCGAAAGTAAAAGTTTAACGTAAATGTCTCTCTCTTTTGGCTGTTTCTTTTCAGATTTCGGATTTCAGTTTCTTTTAGCACTCGTTGCACATACGAACCGGCGAATTCCAGGCGGCAGAGTGTAGCACTAATCAGGAGGAGGAACTGCAGCAGGCCAGATGAACCCACGAGTGCTCTTGGTTTCTTGAACTGCATTTTCTTGGGCTCCTTAGTATTCACTTTGCGTTTGGGCTAATCGCAATTCGCAATTCGCAATTTGATTATATAAGCGAACTGAGACGCGGTTCAACTCTTTACAGGCTATGGGTCAAGGCCTGCAGTATGGTTTCTTGGCTAGCCAAAGGTGTACACTCTTTCACAGGCACCAGCTTGAGAGCTGGTCATTGGACTCGATTTCGATTTCAGTGCACGGCGAGACGACGAAGCTGGCGAGGCATAATTCCGGCTGCCCCAGCAGAAACTGAATCAATTTTTTCTTCACTTCTTTTATATTTTTTGCGGGCACGCGCGGGTGTTTCCGAAGTGATACGAACACTATCTTGGTGCGGTGCGGTCGCCGAGTCCGTGCGTGTGCGCTCTGCTGGAGCTCTCTCGAGTGATTGCAGCCTGAGTTCGTGTCTTCAGTCTTTCGTGTTAGAGCTTTCCCCGAAAAAAGTTGGCCGAAGCTCGCTCTGGAATGAAAGCTTTTTCTGGTATTTTGTGTGGTATTTTTAACGCTTTTTTATTTTAAGCTGGCTGTGAACTGTGAAGCTCTGCCACATCCATTTCCACATCCACCAAAGGTCCCTTGGCGAAGGGGGAAACCTCATGGGTCATGAGGAAATACGAACCGATGGCGCTGAAAGGGATGCATAAGAGAGAACTTAAAGGGAAAGTCGGAAGGGAAATTGTGTGCACATACTTCTCCGAGACAAAGTAGCCCATCTGAGTGTTGGGCATGTTCGAGTATTGGTTGCAGCGCTGGGAGAAGAAGTCGAGCCACCCGCCGCAATGCTGGGCCCAAAAGCCCTTGCTGGTGGTGATGGACTCCGCGTAGTAGACGGCCGCGCGGTAGTGATTGCAGTTGTAGAAGCGCCAAGAGCTCACGTAGCTGCAGCCCCGCTGGTTCAGCTGATCCAGGTTGGGGTAGAAGTCCGCATGCCCCATCGGCGGCAGCATGGAGAAGAAGAAGGGGTCGGTGTGTATGATGTCCACAAAGTCTGCGTCGCTGGGGTCGAGTTTCTGGCGCAGCGAGGCCTGCATCATGAAACCAGGCCCAGCTGGGTCCAGGCCAGTGATCCTAGCCAGGGGCTCGTCCACATGGTTGGCCACCATGCCCGCCACCTGAGCCCCCAGACTGAACCCAATCAAGTGTATGTCCTCCCGTTTGTAGATGCCGGCTGTCAAGAGATTGCCTATTAGCTGAGCCAGGCACTCGGACACAATGGGAGCATTGGTGACAGCCCAGGGAAAGTAGCACGGAAAACGCACCAGACTCCCATACTCCACGGAAATGACATGGACGGGCTGGGTTTGCAGCAGGACATCTCGCACCTCCAGATTGGGCGTCAGATCCCGACTGCCGATGAAGCCGTGTATGAGTATTTTTAGGGGTAGACTGGGCTCAAACAGCTCCGCCTGGGGATCTAGGGGATCTATTTCCACGGGCTGATCGCGGGTGTGGCTGGGAACAGTCTGGCTTGATTATACTTCCTCCAATGAGAAACCGCAACTCACTTTGTGTAGAGCCAAAAGCTAATGCGAGGATTCGGACACTTGTTCTCCGCAAAGACGCACAGCTCGGGCAATAGTCCACGCAGCTCCGTCTCCGCTCCGGTGTATCCCAAGAGTAGAAGTGCCAGGAGGAGGTGGCACCCATTCCAGCGATATTCGCTCATTGCAAGTGTCTAAACTACTCTACGCCCACGCTCTAACGCCAATTCTATTAAATTTGCCAGGCCTAACATTGAAAATTGCATAGGAAATGAGGGCCCATATATTGTGCAGGTTTGCTGATAAAAGAGTCAAGGTTTCCAAAGGGGGCTAGGGTTAGCCAGTAGGTCAAGGTGGGTGCCGGTGCCGGTGCCGGGCTGGATTCGGTGGGGTTGGGAGCTTTCTGCGGGCAGGGTTAAGCATTAGAAGCTGACATTGAAGTTCCGAGAACGTGATAGATCAACGAGATGCACAGAGAATATACATGGCTTTAGTGTATAGGCTGTATAGGCTATGTATATTCGCAGGTACGGAAGGTATTTTTGGGAAAAGAAACGACAATAGATTTATAATAATTATTTGAAATAAATTATATTTAACACTATCCGAGTTTACTTGAGTAATCACAAATGATCCTATGACAAAGGTTCGTCTTCTGCTTGATCCGTCCAGATCAGTTGCTTCTCGAGATCATCCACATCTGTCTTCAGATGGTTCTCGGGATCCTCCAACTCGAGGAAGGCCTCCAGCAGCTGTGGTTCAAAGTCATGGTCGACTTCGTTGTGCTCTGGACTCAGCCGAAACTTGGCCAGATGCCTGCTGTTGTCCACGTCCTCCATTTTTCCCAGGGCATAGGGTGTATTGCTGCCTGTCTTAAGGAAGAACGAGCCTTTCACGTCCTCCGCTACGTGGTAGCCCATCAGGGCCTGGGGGGCGCGGGTAGAACAGAGTCCGATGAGGTGGACCAACCAACTGGAGCACTGGCGACCCCAGAAACCTACGGTGGAGTTAATGGACTCGGCATAAAAGCGCGGAGCTCTCTCATGATTGCAGCTCCCGGGATCGGTGGGGTTCTCCTCCATGCAGCCCGGCTGCTGGGGTCCGAAATTGGGGTAGAAGTCTACATGGCCCATTGAACGGAGCATTCCTCGACCCAGAACATCCGTGTGGATGACATCCACGAACTCTGCGTCGCCAGCATCTAAGCGGCGCGTATCACTGCCCAGGATGAAGAGCGGCTTGGCCGGGTCCAGTCCCGTAATCCGCTTCAACTTTCGCTTCAGATGATTGGTGGCCTGACCCGCCACCTGGCCGCCAAGACTGAAGCCAATCAGGTGGATCATCTCATTTCGAACTATGCCCCGGTCCACCAGGTTGTTGATGAGCTGCGCCAGACATTTGCTGACTAGAGGAACGTTTTGCACCGCCTGAACATAGCAGGGATAGCGCACCAGGGGTCCATAGTCAATGGAGATCACATAGACATCCTCGTGGTCGAGCAGCACTGGCCGGATGAAGGAATTCGGGGCAAAGTCTCGATAGCCCGTGTATCCATGGATGAGTATCTTCAGAGGGCGCGGAGGCTGAAAGTCCCAGGGATTGAGATCGAGAGGATCCAGCAGGATAGGATTATCCCGAGTTGATCTAAAGTAGACGTCTGTGAGTGGGCGCAGAAATAGCGGCAGTGACAGCTACTTACTTGGAGTACAGCCAGAAGGTAACATTTTTATTGGGACACTCTCCACGCATCACAAAGCAGGCCGGGTCGAACAGTCCGACCAGAGGATTGCCTTCCCCCAACCAAACGAATGCTGTTCAAGGAATCCTAATGAATGGAGGTTCATCCGAGTCCGATCGCTCGACTTACCCAGCAGGGAGAGCCACGCCATAAGCAGCATTGCGCCAAAATTTCTAAGACCGACTGTGTTCCGGCCATCGAAAGTTGGTGCTATTTAAAGGCAACCGATTATCTAGTTCCGCGATCTGGCTAGAGCCAATTGATTCCGGCGGCAGCATATATAAGCACCCACACAGGTGGAAAGCAGTAGGCGTGTGCCGAACCAACTACAATTGGTGTCAAATGAGAACGAAAGTAGTCGGCACTCGCGTGGACTTCGAGACGGCTCAATTAGAAAATTCGAGCCAAAAATGTACTTTTCGCATAAAATAACAAAATATATACAAGAAAATGAAGTCACTAATGTTTGGCTTCCCACTCTTTAGCAGTTAGACTCTTTTTCTAGTTCTTGACCGCCGTCCAATGGCTTGTATCGAGCTCCACGTGTAAGCTGACTCACACTGCGTTCCTCGATAGCTGGTTCTTGTGTGGGGGCACCAGCTCTAGTGGCAGTTTTCTGAAAACATTTCAGTATGTCTGACTGCCAGCCCTGGGACAAGAGGATTGCGGAGGCAACGGCGAAGGCCAGAAGGAAGCGGGCCAGGTAGAAGGCCTGACAACGCAGCCAGTAGGCGAAATGTGGGGTATTCCGCACCAGGTATTGATTGTTGGACATCAGGAGGTCGTGGGAAATGTAACCGCACACAGTATTGAGCGCGATGAGCATCGGAACCCAGATCTGCACCATCATCAACTCCACCAAACCCATGATGACGATCAGCTCCAGCAGCAGTAGGAACATTTGTTGCGACCGAGTCGATGCCACCAAGCGGATCCCGACAGGCCGCCATTGAGTTACCAAGGCGAGCAAGGACACAGCCACCAGCAAGGAAGCTGCGTTCGGCACGAGCACCGTGACTTTGTTGTTGAGGTTCGAAATGACGCTCAGATTGCTCAAGTGCATAATCGCCCCGACGCCAACAATGCACAAGTTCTCCACTCGATGGCTTTCCATGGCTTAGAATTTGGAATCTTTAAAATTTCGAAAACACTTTTTATGATTTTGTGTTTTGTATACTTTTTCTAGCGTGTGAGTCTAAATGGGAAATGAGGTAGCTCATCGAAAATGGGAAACTCCCAGCCTACTCAACAAATGTTGGATCTTCTAGAAAAGGGTCTGTCTCCTGTCAGTTGGATTACGGGGTTACAGGATGAACCTTGGAGCCGGTGTATATTTATTGGCAGTGGAACCAGCGGCGTCTTTGCAGGTGAAAGACGGTAAAAACAGATCGGCTGTTCCACTGTAGACAGGCTACGATACAAACTTTAACAATCGAAGCTGGCTATGCATATTCCGTAGTTAATAGTGTGCTCTTTATTAGTTTTGTAAATTGTACATTTGTAAATTTCTTCACTGCGAATCCACCAACAGCTCGATGTCAGTGCCGAACTGAACGAGGAATACAAGTTCAATGTGACCTGCTCCTTTGGAACTGTATCAGGAACAGTTCTTTGATCTGTTCTCGCCGAAAGAGCGAGATCGGCCGCCGGGGACATTCGCGAGATGCAGAAGCACAATGTGATGACCGGTCCCACCGAATTAGAGGTCAAATCTGCCCGTGAGGTTACCGGTCATCTATTGCGTAACTCTGCCGGTCGGCCAACGCACGAAACATCATCCCGTTCTCATGCATTTTCACGCTCACCGTGCTTTTCAGCAAGCTGAAAGGCCCACAGTTCTGTGGAATTGCATTCTCCCCTTCATCCATTGCAATCTTCAGCCTTCCTGCCACCTTCAAGTTTAGCCTAGGGGATATGGCCGCGCGGAGGGGGGCCAACGCCTATTACGATGGGGGATCATAATAATTTGTTTGTTTTACTTATGATCCACAATCAATACCATACCCAAACACCAACAAGAGTGGAACTGGAGAATGCCTCGTTCCGTAGAATGAGGCTCGCATGAACTTGTGTCCGACAAAGAGAAGACGAATTATGACGCGCCGTCTGAGAATTTCATCTCTACTTAAATTTTGACTAACTAAAATTTGAAAAGTAAATTTTTTGTAAAATTTGGGAATTAAATTTTTTTTTTAAATTTTAAAATATAAAACAAACGATGTTATCGGGTTGAAGTTCCAAAAAGTTATGAGACCTGACTGCCTAAAAACGTATGTTTTTATAACTAAGCCAATACAAATAAATGAAATCCTACTAAGATTCACAAGTTTATGTTGTTTTGTTGCTTGAAATTTTGGCAGAAATTCAAAAGCCGCCGCCACCCTTTTGTATGTCCCTTTCACAATGTAGTTGTGGGAGTTCTTCTCCCATATATCCTCAGTGGTTCACAAAAAAGACTTATCTAATGATCGAATTGTTTTAAGGAACTTTTGTAAATTTTTTTTACCTATTATAATAATAAAAAAAAAAAAAACTTCGTCTCGCCAAGCCGTATAAATGGCTTTTCTACACGATTTCTACATAGGGGTATTAGCACAACGAGGTGAGTCATAGGAAAATACTGGATACATTAAAATACTGCAAACGTGGTGAGTCCAAAACGCGTCATAAGAAAATACTGACAGAGTAAAATACTGGAAATAAGGTGAGTCCATAACGCGTCATAAGAATATACTGGATACTGTACTGGAAAATGCTAGAAAATGCCAAAAAAATACTAAAAGTTTAAAAATATGTAAGGTGTGGGTGTGTGACAACCCTACATCCATTGATCCATTCCACCCCGCACGCCCCTGCACTGCACGACAACTGTTTGCAAAAATGATAAGTAAAACTAGATTTTTAGCATCGCTGATTATCATCCGTGCTGACAATAACGGGTTACATAATGGCCAAACGACAAACATGGGAGCACATGCGACAGGTCTTTGCACAGGCGGTGAACGCTGTGCATCCGGAGAAGATTTTCGCCGATTTCCAGAGCTTCGACTTGCGGCCGCAGCGGATTGAGAATTGCGGAGGAATCTGCATCAAACTGAACGGAGAACAACATGACATTAGCGGGAAGAAATGTCACATAGTGGGATTCGGCAAGGCCGTGCTAGGCATGGCCAACAAAGTTCATATAGACTTGGGCAAGTACTCTGCCGGCGGCGTTCTTAGCGTGCCTGTGAATACCCTGAGGCAGTTTCAGGAGCTCATCCAGACTGCAGACGGACTGCGCACGGACTGCGGACGGACTGACCAACACATCGGCAAGGGTTTGGCCGTCTACGAGGGAGCACCCAATAATTTGCCCGATGAAACGGCCTTAAGGGCAGCTGAAGCTATCAAGGAGTTGGCCCAGAAGATGACTCCCCAAGATGTGCTCTTTGTGTTTGTCTCAGGAGGCGGATCTGCGTTGCTGCCGCTGCCTAGAGCTCCCCTAAACCTCACCGACAAGCGAAATATAGCAGACAAGCTGATGAGGTGTGGAGCCAGCATACAGGAGCTCAACACGGTGCGCATTGCCTGCTCGGACATCAAGGGAGGCCGCTTGGCAAGGTTTGCCGGCAATGCGGGACTGCTGGTTACTTTTGTCCTGAGCGATATAATAGGAGATCCTCTGGAGCTGATCGCCTGTGGCCCCACCATCCAACCAGTCAGTGGAGAATCCGCAGTTGCGGTACTGAAGAGGCACCAAGTGTGGGAAGAGCTCTCTGCGGAAGTTCAAAATGTCTTTGAGGTGTCGGACAAGCAAGACAACCCTTTGCTACCCAAGCACAAAGTCTATGTGGTGGGTAGCAATGCCATAGCTACCTCAACGGCAGCCCAACAGGCTGCCAAACTAGGATACATTCCCTGCGTCCTAAGCTGTTCTGTACAGGGTGATGTAGGCCAAGTGGCAGACGACTATCAACGTCTGCTGAAGGGCATACAGGAGGCCAGGCAGTATGGCCCCTGTGAGGAGCAGCTGAAGAAGAAGTACGCCTTCGGAGAAGACAGCTTCCAGGGATTCAAGGCGGCCTTAGAACAGCACTTGAGCAGTAAGATGCCGTTGCTGCTCATTTGTGGTGGCGAGCCAGTCATTAAAGTTTGTAGAAAGATTTCTAAAATCCAGTTTGAAATCCCATTAATGTTATGTTTTTCAGGTCACGGGTCAAGGTGTGGGTGGCCGTAGTCAGCACTTGGCCTTGCTGATGTCACAGACTCTACATCGCGATAAAACTCTGCCTGACTGCACCTTCCTGAGTGCCGGGACAGATGGCATTGATGGACCCACAGATGCGGCTGGCGCCTTTGGAGACAGCAGCGTCATTGATTCATTTCTGGCCAATCACACCCTGGATGAGCTGGCCGAGATCCTGCGCAACTGCGACAGCTACAACTTCTATAGGAATCTCTCGGGTGGCCAGTACCACGTGCACACTGGCCACACAGGAACCAATGTGATGGATCTACACTTGCTCGTCGTCCCATAGTGGAGTGGGATGTATGTAGGGCAATTCGTTAATAGAGCTGCTCTTGAACTGCAGACGGGCAATAGTCGTTTAAATTTGTTTTTACGATTTTCCTCTTTAATTTTTGTCTATCAAATTTTACGACTTTTTTCATTAACATTTTTAATATTCACTCAAATTTAAATAGTTTCGAGATCTTTATGCTCCGAGACCGAGACCAAGACCCTCCGGAGTGACAGCATAAATGGCAATTAGCTATCCACTTAGTCATTCCTCTGTTACGAGATCAGCAAGGCATTTAGACATTTTCGGCATCAATTGTCTTGATTATAATTATCCGGCAGTGGCAGATGTGATAAATCAATTTGTATGTACGATTATTATAAAGCATAAATATATTTGTGCAATGCCCGGGCACCAAACCGCTCCATTCCGCTCCTTTGTACTGCGTCTCATAAAAATGCGCTGCTAATAAATCATCTTAATTGTTCGAAACGCCAAAGGCAAACAGTAGCAACAGTCGCAGCAGCTCCAGCAGCAACTACAACAATAGCCAGCGATAATTGCAATTAAAAATGTAAATTTATTTGTTGTTGTTTTTTTTTTTGTGTTTATTTTTAGCATCTAGAAAACTAAAACGCGACGCGCGCCCAGTCGGAATATAGCAATTTTCGCTAACCTAACTAACACTTTGAGTGCATAGTTTTATAATTGCTTGATTTTTTCTGTTTCTAATTCTGATTCGTTTCTGTTACTGTTTCGTTTCCCTCTATCTTTCAGCGCTTTTCATTGTTTACGCGGAGCTCTGCTGTCTATAGTATAATTACTTTGCCGCACATTTGCCACCATTATTAAATAATCACATTCGCCTGTCCCTCTTGTGCTATTTTTGCTCGATTAGACTTGTTATTAGCTGCACTCGCCTGTACAGAGATGACTAACTTCTGATTCCCTTAAATCTATATTATTCTTTGTGATGATGCATACAAACAAGATATCAGTGTCATTTGCGCAGATAAACGGCGAAGTTCCCATTAGGGAATGGAATGTATTGGCTATATTAGTCGATGATCGATAACATATAGTCACGTATCTCAAGTACGATTAATCATTGGCACAAAGTCTCTCCCATAACCATTTGTCTTAGTTATACTCAATAATTATAATAATTAATATACATAAATGTTTATAAAATAATTTAAAATGATGAGCTCGTGGAAAGGTTTGGAGATTTTCAATCCATAGGATCTTGTCCTGTTGGGTTTGAAAATCAGTTGGACTTATTCAGGATTTATATTGGGGCTTTCCCTATTTTGATAGCTTGTTTTACTCTCACCCTTTGGGGTCGGTTAGGGATTGTACTGCATCCCATCCCATTCATTTTTCTCATGGGAACATTCTACTGGGTGTATATATAGCGGCACACTGTAAATATCTTTACAAAATATTCGAATTTACAGCACGACCAGTTTTAAAAGTTGTATAGCATCTAGCTTAATGTTTCATACTAGCCACCCTTACAAGATTCATAGCTGGTAGCTTATTGTGCGGTACTAGCCAACACACTAGAAACAGTTTCATAGTAGCCAGCTTTAAGACGTGTAGTTTCATAGCAGACAGGCACGTGACCATACAAATAATATGCTCGTAAAAGATGAAATAATGAAATATATCAAGAAATGGATATTTTAGAGGAAGAAACTATGTATGATTGTTAATTAAGGCTAATTCCGCCCGAATTTAAATAGATTATCGTATCTTTAATCGTAAATCTTTACACTCCTCTTCAGAAGCATTTTGAATTGAAGTAGTCGTCATCTGTGCCCCCGATTTGACGTTCACATTACAAGTACATTAATTAAGCGCTGCCTACTTGTCGGGCGGCTCCGCCCACTCTCAGATCCACATATGGCGATTAGAAACACTTCCGCTTCCGTTTTCTTCCACTTACATGCCATCATCATCGTCATCATCATCATCGCGATCATCAGCAGCAGCTATATTTAACATTATTATTAGCCAGTGACCACCATCAACTCCGCCTCATCCTCCCACATGGCCGGAGCTGGAGCTGGGGCAGCAGCAGCAGCAGTCGCAGTCGCAGCTGTGGAATGTCGCGTCAATTTGTCTGCCTGTGCATATGGCATGGCAACAATCTCAGTGTAGAGAATCGTCTGGTACCCATCTTCCCATCGAGTAGCAGCAGCACGCCGAGGCAGCGACAGCAACAGCAACAGCAACAGATACGGCCATGGAGTGCAAGTGTCGCGTTGATTTATTAATTAAGCATTGGAGCGCGGCAAGGCGGCAAGGCGGCAAGGCGGTACGGCGGTAAGGCGGCAGCTGAGATACCCGGCAACGCGTGGCAACCGATCCGATGCTGGCGATGATGCTAATGAAGTACTCGCTGGAAATTTTAATTAACGATCCCCGATTCGATTGCCATCGCAATCGCGTTCCCCAGCATAGACTCCACCATAGAAGTGTTGACTTATGACATCACACCCAAGCCCCAGCAGCCGCAGCAGCCCCAGCAGCGGCAGTAGCGGCAGCTGCTGCCTCTCTCTGATCATTGCCAGACAAACTGACGACGCTTATCACAGACACACGCGTAGAGCATACCATACATCACGCCGAACATTGCGCATACGCCAAGTGGCCCCAAAGCGGGCAATTAAACAATGTTCGCACTGTGTAGCGACATGCATAAATTTCGTTGTTCTGTTCTTAATTTGTCTAGACAATGGCAAAGTTCACTCCGAGCAAATATAATATAGGCAAAGTTCAATTAGCGCTTTGTGGCCTGCCTTAGTTGAGGGCACAAAAGACACAGAAAACCGAATGGCAAGCAAGATCGCAATTTGCATATTACTTCGAAATCGGCTTGACTAACCCCCCATGAATCATCGGCAGAGATCTTCAGATGGAATCTCTTAATTTGAAGCACATGCTGGTGCAAGTTTTTGTGTTTCTTTTCGAAAATTCGACAGTTGCAGTACAGCGAACTCTGCCCGACAATGAAACTCTCAGTGAGATCAACAAGGACAGAGAAGATGGAGAGTTGGTAATTGACAGATCTTGGAATTGGCAATGTTTTCATTTAAGATTTATAACTTTTGTAGCTGAATCATCCACAGAAGGAAGAGGATCAAGCAATATAGTAGTTATAGGAGAAGACCTATTGGTATAAACTGGTATAAAATGATACTAGTCATAGATTTAGAGGGATAGGCAAGCTCCAGGGGTGTATAAACTCTAATCGTGCAGCAGTACAACATGAACGTGTGTACACTGAAACGATTATCCATGGCAAGTAATGGGGATGGCAATAATAATTTCATCCTCCCACCTGGCATTTATCACGGGTATTGATCTATTCATATACCGAATGGGCAGCTTAATGTCAATCTGCTCTTTGGCTGGCCGGCTCTGAGCACTCAGTTGGCTGCCTCCCGGCTCGAGACCATTAGTGCATTACAAATAGGTGCGGCAGACCACGGCTGCAACAACAGCAACAGCGAGAAGGGTCTTGGCCACAGACGCCGCGGTGCCGTTGACCAACGTGACTGAGATGGTCTGCGCTCTGCGCCTCAGCAGCCCAGCAGACGACCTCAAGTGGCAGGCCTCGCATTCAAGTTGCTGCCTCTGCCTCTGCCTCAACGCTTGGGCACAATACGCGAGGCTGCCACAAACACAGCGTGCTGTGGCAGCAACTGGCCAGAGCTGTAACGAAGGCAGCATCCACAATCCACAATCCAGAAGCAGTTCAAGTTTGCGCCGAGGAATTCCTTGCCGCTGAAATAATTAAGCATTGCAACATTGTTTATTGTTGCTGTTGTGGCTGCCGCTGCCGCTGCTGCTGCTGCTGCTGGGTGTTGCAGGCTCGTTTAACAAGGCAGCCAAGTTCTCAACAAGTGCCTCCTCCTGTTCTACAAGTTTTTTTTTTTTCTCTTTCTTGGTGCCTCTTTCTGGTGGCACTCAAAGGAATTTCCATTTTATTTACATTTAGAATGTGCCGAACGGACTCGTCGCATGTAAAGCGGGCCAAATCGAAAGCTATTAGAACTTATTAGCATATCAAGCTGGAACATGGAAAATTTAGTGGCAACAATGTTGCCCCGGCGATACGAACAAACGGAGAAAATCAGCCAGAACAATTTCTCTTTTGTTTCGTTTATTAACGCATCTAAATGGTGTAATATTCTATAGAGGATCTATAAGAAACAGCACTATAAAGGTGAGGAGTCATAGGCACAATAATATCTACCTGGATGATCCTTGGATCCTGGATAAATTGAGTTAAGAATCTGTCGCCCTTTATAGAGACTAACAGTATTGTAACCCAACGATTTATGGGCACTTTGATTGATTGTTTCTGGCTAATTGTGCACTTCCCATTCGCTTTATTTACGGAACTGCCAGTCGCCAAACTGCATTACAATTACGGGAAAGTGTCAATGCTGCTGCTGCTGCTGTTGCCTGGCCATAGCCTACAATCTCGATTGAGTTGGAAAGGAAAAACAAAAAGAAATACTCGTAACAACAAAAATTTTCCATAACCTCAAAAAAATGCGTCGGCTATTTTTAAAATGCGCAATCTGCGAGATGCGTGCCCCTGTCCATCCGTCTGTCCCCCTGTCCCCCTGTCCGTCCGACTGCCCGACTGTCCGTCCGTCTGTTGATGCCGCCAGCTGTGTGCCAAGACAACGCAGCAGCAGCCTCCCTCCCCGCCCCAGCCCCAGCCCTCTCTCCCGGGGGCCCCTCCACTTACAATGTGTTGTCTGCGTTTATTGATTTATTAGAAAATTCCAATGAACAAGTTTTAATACACGACACAGCGACCGATGGAGTCGATGTTGTCAGCATGCTTGTTGTGCTTTTTCTCCTCGCTGTGGTTTTTGCTATTTTCTCGTGTTGTTGCAGCAGCAAAAACAATGTAAGAGCGAGAGAGTGCTCGCGAGAGGCATCCGGAGAAGGGGCACGAGTGGCAGCAACTGGGAAAAGTAACAAGTGCAATATTTTAATTACGTTGCAACAACAACGGCCACAAGATCAGCCAGTTGCCAGTTGCCAGTTGCAGCATGTTGCATTGATTTGGCCAGCCAGTGCTGCCAGACAGTTGAACATTTGTGTGTGTGTGCCAACGTGGCGGATGGTTAATGTGCCGAACCCACTGAGAGGGGAAAAACTTAACCCTATGTAGGTGGTATTGTATCCATCTGCTTTACAGAGTTTTTCGTGGAGATAAGGTTCTATGATTGCCTATGAAAAGCTTCTCCAAAACTGCCATATCTTCCTGTTAGAAACTATTACTATGATTGTTCCAGTATCTCTGGAAAAACAGTCTGGCAGCCCCGCGAATAACCGATCTACTCCGTCTCTAAGCATTTTGCAATCAACTTAGATTTGCATTAGCAACGCT